CATATAATAAAGTGACAGAGATTAAAGTTTGCAAAGGGCTTTCTCTACATTGGATTAAGTGAAGTATGGTGCAGTTAAAGGTTCTAGAATCCAAGACCTGAGTTTAAAACGTGGCTCTGCCACTCACTCCCTGTGTAACCTTGGGCAAATCATAACCTGTCTGTTTCCTCACCTGTAAAATGAAGAGGTTGGCTTTAGAGGACCTGGAGGGTCCCTTCAAGCTATAAATTTATGTCCATACAATTCCTTGATCCTTACAACAGCCCCGTGAGACAAGTGCTACTGTTACCTTCTGCACCAAGGCAGCCACACATGCCTTGGAGTCAGGAAAAATTGGATTTCCCTGCTGACTCTGACATGAACCATCTTGTGGCAACAGATAACATTGAATCTCTCAGTGCCCCAGGCACCACTATAGAGATCATAAAATACAGGAAGGTTGCTGATCTGCATCAAGGAAGGAGTTTCTCCACACTGATGCAATCATAGGTCAAGACCAAAAACCTGAATCAGATCACCAACATTTCTGTCTGAATTAAACATGTACCAAAGACACCTGTCTCAGTCATCAAGCATTGTTTTCCCAGATGATAGTCCTCTCTCGTGAGAAAAAGGAACACTGTAGTGATTGAAGAATAAGGTCAAATTATAGTTATGGAATTTGTGGAATCCAAGAATTCAAAATAGATTAAAATCTTTGAGCATAAATGCTTTCTTTTTCAAAATGTTAATTAATTTGTTTTTAGTTTTCAATATCACTTCCATAAGCTTTTGAGTTTTAAATTTTCTCCACTTCCCCACCCTCCTCTCCAAGACAGTGTGCAATCTGATATAGACTCTATATACACATTCTTATTAAACATATTTTCACATTACTCATGTTGTAAAGAAGAACTAGAACGAATGGGAAGAACCAGGAGACAGAAAAAACAAAACAAACAAAAAAAAGAAAGCAAAATAGTATGCTTCCATCTATATTCAGACTCCATAGTTCTTTCTCTGGATGTGGATAGCATTTTCCTTCATGAGCCTTTTGGATTGTCTTAGATCCTTGCACTGCTGAGAAAAGCTAAGTTTATCAAAGTTAGTCATTGTACAATGTGGCTGTTACTGTGTACAATGTTTTCCTGGTTCTGCTCACTTCACTCAGCATCAGTTCATATAAATCTTGCCAGATTTTTCTGAAGTCCACCTGCTCATCATTTCTTATAGCACAATGGTATTCCATTACATTTACATACCACAACTTGTTCAGCCATTCCCCAACTGATGGGCATCCCCTCAGTTCCAATTCTTGGCCACTGCAAAAAGAACTGCTATAAATATTTTTGTACATGTGGGTAATGCTATCTTTCAATAACCCTAGCCAGGATGCTAGGCAATGCTGTTTGGTTCCTGACACTTTGTAAATTAGCAGGTTTAAGAACATTTAATCTTTGAGATGACAGTCAGACACTTTCATTTATTTGATTTGCTTAAGGTTCTGAATTTGAGTATGTATGACATCACACTGAAACTCCCCAATTCAACCCAGAGGCAGCTGGTGGTCCAGGATAGATTGTTGGGCCTCAAATCAGGAAGACCTGGGGCAGCTAGGTGGCACAATGGATAGAGCACCTGCCCTGAAGCCAGGAAGACCTGAGTTCAAATCCAGCCTCAGACCAAACACTTAACACTTACTGGCTATGTGACCCTGGGCAAGTCACTTAACCCCAATTGCCTAAAAATAAAAAAAATAAAAAAATAAAAAAAACCCAAAGCAAATCAGGAAGACCTAAGTTCAAATACAGACTCAGTTACTTACTAGCTGTGTGTTCCTTGGCAAGTCACTTAAACTCTGTTTGCCTTAGTTTCTTTATTGGTAAAATGGAGATAAGAGCACCTACTTTTTAATTTCTTTTTTTATTAATTTATTTTGATTTATCAACAATCACTTCCATAAGCTTTTGAGTTTTAAATTTTTCTCCCCCTCCCCAAGATGGTGCACAGTCTGATATAGGCTATACATATACATTCCTATTAAACATATTTTCATATTAGTCACATTGTAAGGAAGAATTAGAACCAATAGAAGGAACCACAAGAAAGAGGAAACAAAACAAAACAGAAGAAAACAAAAGAGCAAATATTATGCCTCAATCTACATTCAAACTCCATAGTTCTTTCTTTGGATGTGGATAGCATTTTCCTTTATGAACCTTTTGGAACTGTCTTAGATCCTTGCCTTTCTGAGAAGGGCTAAGTCTATCAAAGTTAGTCACTGTACAATGTGGCTGTTACTGTATACAACGTTCTCCTCGTTCTGCTCACTTCACTCAGCATCAGTCCATACAAGTTTTTCCAGGTTTTTCTGAAGTCTGCCTGCTCATCATTTCTTATAGCACAATAGTATTCCATTATATTCATATACCACAACTTGTTCAGCCATTCCCCAATTGATGGGCATCCCCTTAGTTTCCAATTCTTGGCCACAACAAATAGAGATGCTTATAAATAGTTTTGTCCATGTGGGTTCTTTGTTTCTCTCTTTTTTAAAAAATTACTTATTTATTTTTAGTTTTCAACATCCACTTTTATAAGATTTTGAATTTTAAATTTCCCTCCCCCCTCCCCAAGATAGCATGCAATCTGATGTAGGCTATACATTTATGTTCATATTAAACATTTTTGCACATTAGTCATGTTGTGAAAGAAGAATTAGAAATAAAAGGGCAAAACCATGACAAAGAAAAAAACAAGAAAACAACAAAAGAAAGAGAAAATAGTATGCTGCATTCAGACTCCATAGTTCTTTCTCTGGAATGTGGACAGCATTTTCCATCATGGCTCTTTTGGAATTGGTAAGATCATCTACTTCACAGGCACGTAGTTCAGTACCTGGTACATAGTAGCTGTTACATAAATACTTCCTTCCCAATATGCTCTAGAGTATATTTTCAAATTATATATTTTTTGTTGTTGTTTAGTCATGTCTGACTCTTCAAGAGCCTGTTTGTGCTTTTCTTGGCAGATACTGGAGTGATTTGCCATTTTTACATATGAAAAACTGAGGCAAATGGGGTTAAGTGACTTGCCCAGATCACACAGCTAGCAGGTTTCTGAGACCCGATTTGAACTTAGTTCTTCCTGACTCTAGGCCAGGTACTCTTTCCACTGTACCACCTAGCCTCTACTAATGTACCTGGGTAATTAGGTGGTGTGTAGTGGACAGAACACCGATCCTGGAGTCAGGAAAACCCAAGTTTAAATCTTGCCTCAGACAATTTGTGCCCATGTGATCCTGAGCAAGTCACTTAACTCTGTTTGCCTCAGTTTCCTCATCTGTAAAACGAGCTGGGGAAGGAAATAGCAAACCATTCTGGTATCTCAGCCAGGAAAACTCCAAATGGGGTCCAGAAGAGTCAGACAGGAGCAGACAACAACTAATGTACCTACAGAAAAGAAATCTGATGGTGGCCACAGTAATTTACTTTCTCCCCCCCTTCCTTATTAAGATAACAGGTCCTCAAGAAGTCGATTTAGATCTGTGTCATTTGGGAATCAATTCCTAGTTCTCAGTCTTTTGCACTTGAGGAATCACCATTGTCACCAAGTAAGCATCCTGTCGGTCTTCTGAGCAACAGGGATGACATTCCAGTAATTCTATAGTGACTTGTTTGACCCATCAAGAACTGTATTGTCCAGGATAAGCATGGAAATACAGCATTATGGAGATTGTGTGTGTGTGTGTGTGTGTGTGTGTGTGTGTGTGTGTCTAAGTAGGGGGGCATTCAAAAGAAAGCACGGTGCAGGGAACAGCATAGGGTACCTGGACAGAATAGGGTTCTGGTTCTGGCTGTCACTTATTATTGGTCTGTCACTTTCCTTGATTTAGGCCTCATTTTCTTCATCTGTAAAATGAATGGACTGTACTAACTGGCTGCTGAAACCCCTTCCAGCTTTAGATCCATCATGCTATTTTTAATTAAATACTGCCTGTAAGGCCCTTTACAAACTTTAAAAGGCTCTAAGTTATTTGCCTTATGGGATAGTTCTAAAACAGTGTTTTTATAAGTTTTGTATCAATTCGAATTATGTCCGCTGACCATCATCTTCTCAACCAGACCCCTCCTTTGACTCGAGACACACACCTGAGTAGCTGAGTGCGATTGGGGGTGGGGGTGGGGGCTTCTCCATGGCTCAGAGCAGAGCAGACTGTGGCCCTTTCAAGGAAGAAGCAAGCCCAAGGGCTAGTGCTTGACCCGCGGGAAGGAGGAGGCCAGAGATGGGCGTTCCCAGCTCCATGTAAGTGACCCAAGTTGGTTCACCAGGTGCTTGCGGGACACCCCCGGGGTGGGTGTAGGGCCTGGCTTGGGGCAACCCAGGCTTAGCCCTGAGGCCATGGGAAAGAGACCTCTGTTCGTGTTTACTGTGGTGGCCTTGAAATGAGTTGATCCTTGGAATTCATCCAGGGGAGAGGATCTTAATTTGACAGCAGCGGCATGATTTCCACTGTTCTCTGTTTTCTGGAGTAATCCTCGGGGCATGCTTGGGTGTCGCCAAGCCAGAGTGTGATGAGGGGATGGGCTTTTCCTCCTTGTCCCTGATGATGAAGCTGTTCCCCTCAGAACAGACCTGTCAGGTCGCTTTGAGACACTTCCATTTGTACTGGGCCTCCCCTGCCCTTCCCGCTACATTATTTTGTCCCAACGGCATTTTTGTTTTTCAGATTTATTAAAAATTGCCTCCAAAAAAAAAATTATGTCAACTGAATTATCTGGAGAAATGCCTAACTCTTCAGTCTATTTGACCTCCACAGTCCAGGTCTAGATTGTGGAAGAGGGATTAATTTTGTTCCTGACAGGTATTGCCCTCCCTCCCAGGGGGGTTGCATGGATAAGCGGAATAAGATTTGGAAAGCTCTTTGCAAATCTTTAAGCTATGTAAATGCTAAGTATTATTACTATTATTATTATTCTAGGTCACTTCAGATAGCAAAATGAGGACTGCTGGAGACAGAATTCGATTCTATAAAAAATTTTTTCACGAGTAGGTGCGCTCGAACACGAACAAAATGAAATGGTCTGTTTTCTGTCCTTAGAGGAATTAGATGAGCACCTGTCAAAGCTGTCGTACCAGGGTCGGAGGTTGAGCTTCGAGCCCAAGGTCCTTACCTAGGTTAAGATTTTATTCCGTTCGGTGTTCGGCTGGTGGGTAGGGGAGGAGAGACTTTTTTTTTCTTTTGCAAAATTTACGATTTCATTTATCCCTTCCCCACTCTGCTGACACGTTTCTTTCCAAAGCCAATCGTATTCCGGAGCCCGTGAGCTGAGGCCCTCCCCTCTGCGTCCCCTGGCCCTCCTCTCCGCCGGCGCGGGACAGCCAGCCAGGATCCTGGCCCGGCTGCGCTTCATTTCTCCGGCGCGCAGAGAGCAGAGGACGTTCTTCCCCAGCAGCCCAGAGCTCCGGCCCTCACGTGACTTAACCACCGCTGCAAGCTTTCCAGAGAAAGAGAGAGAGTTTAAAGGTTACGGAGGAAATTAGCATACACACAAGCGCGCGCGCGTACACACACGCACACACACTCACACACATACTCTCTATCGACTATACGCGTCCAATTTTTCCGTAGCAAAGACAGGGTCTGTCACCTTGGGTTGATCAAATAAGGGGCAGGGGCAGGGGACAGTCCAAAACAGATATTAATAGGTACTTTTTTTGAAAATGCACACACACACATACATAAATATTCTTAACGACGAAACACCTCCAAAATACTGGACTCTATCAAGTCGTCTCAGAGCTGGAAGCACCAGAGCGATCCCTAAGCGTGGAATGTTGCAAAAAGAGGGATAATTTGTAGCAGAACAAAACAAAGAAACAACCACAACCCCCCCCACACCCTTTCCGGGGACTTCATTCCCCACAGCCGAGTGGAGCCCCTTGGGAGAGATCAACACCCCTCCCCCATTTCTTTGCCCTGACGTTCCGAGTTACTCCTTCTCCCCGAACCTGAGAGGGAGGGGATGGAGAGTGAAGGAGGTGAGGTTCCCCGAAATTTCCAGCGCGGAATCGCTCCTCCCAGACGTCGGGTAGTCGGAGAAGCTGGGACTTTGGAAGAGGTGCGCGTCCCAGTCGCCTCGTCTGCTATCCACAGAATCTAGTCTAGAGACGGCGGCCCCCTTCTACCCCGAAGCGCCCCTCCTCCCTCCCCGCCAACCCCGGGGCAAGCGGGACCCGATCTCCTACCCGCCCGCCCACTTCCCCCGCTTGCATAAACGGAGGGAAGATTTTTCCACTCTCCGTATTCCCTCCCTATCTTCCGCACACTTTTCTCGTATTGCTCCCCCAACCGGCAAAACTTTCTATTTCCACACACACACTCACACTCACACACACACACACACACACACACAGGCGCGCGCGCATACACACACACACACACACACAGACTGACGTCTTTTGCGCATTTCCTGCATTAGACACACACACTTACTGGAGGAGAGAGGGAGGGAGAGAGATCTAGAGACAGACCGAGAGAGCTAAGGGGAGCGAGTGTCAGAGGCCGAGCTAGAACGGAGGGAGGTGGGGCTTAAAGCCGAAAGCTCCTGGAGCCCCAGCCCCAGCAGCTCCTGGCGAGTACTGGGTTAGTGCCTGCCTGGCCTGTGAGGTGGAGCCCCAGCGGCGGCGGCTGCGGCGGCGGTGGCGGCGGCTGGAGCTGCAGCTGCAGCAGCGGCAGCGGCAACGGCAGCAGCAACAGCAGCAGCAAAACAGACCCTCGAATCCTGTGCGGATGTAAGGTTTTTGGCTTTTGGCGTTTCTCGAATACAGACTGAGGGTGAAGGAGAGCAACAAGAAGGCAAACGAGGGGTTGGGAGGAAGCAGTGGGAGTTGTGTGTGTGGGGTGTGTGTGTGTGTATGTATGTGTGTGTTTTTTCAGGGGAGGTGTGTGTGCATGTGTGGTTTGGGGTTTAAATTTTTTTTCTTGAGAGGATCATTTCCTATCGCCATGCATTCCTCTTTATATATATAACATCCCATACATAACATCCCTCCTTTCATCTACACACACACACACACACACCCCTCCTCTCCTAGAGGCGCAGAAGCTGGATTTACAAGGAGGACCCTGGTTGAATTTTATATTGCATCCTTCCTCCCTTCCCCGTCCCTACCCCATTTCCCTAACTACCAGGCACCCCCTGACAAAGTAGTAATTTCCCGGGGATTATGCTTTTGAAAGGTAGGTAAGAGCCGGGCGCAGCGCCCACTCTACCACCCTCCCCCCCGCCCCCGTCCTAGACACTAGGAGTATTAGAGAGGCGAGGGTGAGCCTATACAGTGTATATATTTATCGTCATTTTGCCGTAGGTGTGCTGGGGGGAGAGGGAAGAGGTTTGATCCAAAGACGGACGTCCCCCATCTCGCCCTGCATCCCCATCCCTACCCCCTCCCTGCTTTCCGTTAGAAACCCAGCGAGGAAATACATGCACTCGCTGGGAATCGCCAGAGCCAGGGCGAAGCACTACAAGGTGTAGGTAGGGTGTAGGCGTGTGTGTGTGTGTGTGTGTGTGTGTGCGCGCTTGAGTGTGAGCCTGAGAGAGGTGGGCGGGAGAGGGGGGACCCAGGCGTCCCCGTCCCTCCCGCCCCAAGAAGACCCCCACCGTCCCAACTCCTCCTCCCAGCTCAGAGAACCCTTGTTTATTTTTCGCTAAACTCTTGGGTTGAGTGACCCCGGCCCTTTTGCTCCCTATCCCTACACCCCACCCTCACCGGCCCTCCTTCGACCATGGTAGTTTTCAATGGCCTCCTGAAGATCAAGATCTGCGAGGCCGTGAGCCTGAAACCCACAGCCTGGTCATTGCGCCATGCGGTGGGACCCCGGCCTCAGACGTTTCTGTTGGACCCTTACATCGCCCTCAATGTCGATGACTCGCGCATCGGACAGACGGCCACCAAGCAAAAGACCAATAGCCCGGCTTGGCACGACGAATTTGTCACCGACGTCTGCAACGGGCGAAAGATTGAATTGGCCGTCTTCCACGATGCCCCCATCGGGTACGACGACTTCGTTGCCAACTGCACCATCCAGTTTGAGGAACTGCTGCAGAACGGGAGCCGTCACTTCGAGGACTGGGTGAGAATATCGGGAGCCGGGGTCAGGGAAAGGAGCAGGAGTCGGGGCAGCGGCCGGGTGGGGTTCTCTGGCGAAAGTGTTGCATTGAAGTGACAGGGTTCTTTTAAGTGAGGGTAGTTGATGTTGGGCTCACTACCTGATGCAACTTAGAGTCACGTGGGAGGGTCTCAGTTGCATTGGGTACCCCACCTCCATTTTAATGGGGAGCAAAGTGAGAGGCCTGGGACGAGGAAGCTGAACCTGGGGGAATAGGAGACAGTGAGCTCCTTTATGTTTCCATATTGCTGTTTCCCTCTTCCTCCTACTCCCCCTCGGTCCCCACCTCCCCACCTCCATCCCAACTGATTCAGGTTGGGTTGATACCGTGTTCATTTCAGGGAACTCAGAGCAGCTCATGGAGCTGGAGCACTAGAGTAAGGAAAACCAAGGTTGGTCACCCAGTACTGGTACTCTGGTCACTTAGAGGGCTGGTAGCCTGGCTGTGGGGGAGGGTTCTCACCTCTGGCAGCCCCTGGAAAATGCACGTGGCTCCACCATTCTCCTTATCAGTTAAGGGGGTACCCCGGCTTGATTCTTTCATTTGTCTGAGGTCATATAAATGCAGAGTGAGGTGGTTCAGGTTTTTTTGTAGAAACCTGCTCGTTATTTTTTTAGTCTGTTGCATGGTGGTTTGTTCATTTTCTGTTATGTAGAGATAGAAATGTGATCTACACTATGACACCCAACTCCTCTCCAAAGTCCCTGAAACATTGGCTAAGCTTGCTTTAAACAAATCTCAGAGATGCTGCAGCCCACCCAGAGTCTCTTTCTTGGATTTCCTCTTGGGGGAAAAAATGAAAAGGTTGTACTTCTGGGTAATCGAGTTTCTGTGCATCTCTAGTTAAAGTTACATTGTTGCCCTATTTTATCTTTTAAGGTACTGTGCAATATGATACTATTTCTAAGAGGTCTAGTTGATTGGTGAGATTGTCAAAATATTAGAGTATTGGTAACAGGGCTTGTCAATGTAGTATCAATTGAAATACATTCAACCTTGGCATTCAGAAAAAGGAGGGAGAAGCAAGCACAGTACAACTGCTGGCAGAGAAGTGTTAAATTAGGAATGCTTCTCTGTGTTTTCAGATCTTTCTGCTTGTTTCCAGGGAAAGCAAGCATGGAGATTTGTTTATATTTTCCATATTTATATTTTTATTTTCCAGGCTTATCATTCATATTCTTAGCAGCAAAAGGAGAGATCTCTGTTTCCCAAACATGAATTTGGAATGTTGGTAACATTCTGATTTTTAGATGTAAAGACTTTCCTGTTTTATGATCCAACCCCCTGGGGGCCAAAAGTTGAATATCAGCTATGGTTAGTGCCATATCTGTGTATTTTTATCCATAATGTATCAGATGGGGACTTGGGGAAAAATGTGAGAGCCTTTTCTCTCTGTGATCATGAGTATGATGTAGACTGACTGAAACCATGGTTACTGTTATGACAAGGAAGCTCTAGCAAGATTCACCAGTAAAACCCTAGGAGGATAGCAGCTGGTACTTTGTAAAGCAGGGGATACAGATCTGGAAAAGTCACGCCATTCGCTTCTGTAAGGTTTCTCCCCACCCTCTCTATATTCCTCTCAAGCTTACACTTAGCCCTCAGTCTAGACATAATAGAAATTAACTCCATTCATTTTTTTCTATGTATAAAGTGGATGACTGATTCCATGATGCTTGATTCCAGGACCAGGCTCTAAATCTATCAAGCCTGTGGCTTTGAGTGGCTTTTTGATAATGTGTTTTGTTTTTACAAAGGATAGAAGGGGCCCTTACATAAAGGAGTGCTGCTGTGTTTGCAGATGAAATGTGCAGGACAATAGGGAGAGCATTCACTGCTCATAGACAAACATGGCTGCTTATGCAGGGGTGCTCTGCATGCATGGGTTCAGACCTGTGGCTGGAGGAAATCTGCAGCTGCTGTCTTCACCAATGGGCATGACTGGGAACTGTCTGTGATGGAGACATGAGGCAGTGGATGGTGTTAAGGATCTGCAGGGGATGTTGAAGGATTAATAACACTGCTTCCCCAGCTTTGATGCCTGGAAGGCCCAAAATTTCTTCCCTTGGAGGGAAAGGCAACAGTCTGCCAAAGGCTTTTCAGTCCATTGTCTGTAGATGAATACTGTTTTTCTTAATAATCATGGCTTGGGTTCATATGGCACATTATACTTTTCGAAACAGTTCCATGACTCTTCTCATTGGAAAAGAACTCTTCATCTCCCTCAAACCCTTGGAACTTTCCTGTTGCTATTGAGTGTCCCACCATCCTCTCAGTCACCGAAGCTCCCAATCTCCGTGTCATCGTGTCATCTTTAATTCCTTTTTTTTCTTTTAGGCAATGGGGGTTAAGTGACTTGCCCAGGGTCACACAGCTAGTAAGTGTCAAATATTTGGTCTGAAGCCAGATTTGAACTCAGGTCCTCCTGACTTCAGGGCCTTTGTTCTATGCACTGTGCCACCTAGCTGCCCCTCATTTTAATTCTTCACTCACCCTCATCCCATATAGCCAGGATGTCACCAAATCTCATTATTCCTATCTTCACCAAATCTCTCCTACATGCCTTTCTCTTGGCGCACATAGCCACCACCCAAGTACAGGCCTCATCACCTCCCTCCTGTACTACTACTGCAGAATGCTTCTGGTTGTTCTCATCCTCAAGTGTCTTTCCACTCCAACCCGTCCTCTACACAGAGGCCAAAGCAATTTGCCTAATTGTCTCTGGGGTCAAATAGAAAGGCCTCCATTTCACAGTTAAAAATCTTCCTAACTTGGCCCTTTCCTATTTTTCTAGTCTTCTTACACTTACCTCCCCTCTACAGACTCTACAATTCAGCTACAATGGCATCACGTACAACACCATCTCCATCTCTGTGCCTTTGCCCCTGGTTATTGCCTCTCCTTGCTTCTGTTCCTTAGCTTTGCTGGCTTCTTTCAAGGTTCATCTCAACTCCCACCTTCTGCTAAAACCTTTTCCCTTCCCACCAGCTATTAGTGGCTCCCCCCTCTGAATCTGCCTTTAATTTATTCTGTCTATATCATTTACCTAGTTATTTTCAAGTTGTTTCCTTAATTAGAATGTGAGCTCCTTGAAGGCAGGAACAATTTTTGCTCCTCCCTCCTTCCCCCTCTCTTTTTGCATCCCCAGCACTTAGCAAAGTTCCTGGAACATAGTAAATGTTTAATAAATGCTAGTTGACTGACTGATTCATACCCTTGTGAGCTATTTAATACAGGAGGAGAAAGTGAGGCTGGTGACTTTGCACAGCCCTCCCTCACTTAAATCCAATTCACTTGCTTGTCATGGTATCACCTCCCTGATGTCATGGTCCTCTTTGAGAATGAAAGACAGAAAATAACAACAACAACAAGTAATGCAGATGTTATATCCCATTCAACAGAAGGATAGAGAAGTTGTGACTTGCCATAAGCATCAGGTGAGCCAATGATCAAGCCAGATGAGAACCCAGGTCTCCTGGTTTCTACTTCACTGTTCTTTTCACTGCCTCAATCTGCCCTCCTTGATTTGTGGGTCTTATTAAGAAGGGAGCTACTTCTTCTCCTCCAAAGTGTCCTCCACTGTGAAAATGGGGGGGCACAGATAAGTGTGGCAATCTCATGAAGCTGTGGGGTTAATTGTAACCATATTAGGTAATGTCTCCTAAGACTGTTGGGTAATATTCCCAGGGGAATAGACCGTTAGGAAGTCCAGGGATCCAGGCCATTTGCTCTGGTGCTACTGCATCTGGAGTGGCTGAAAAGTCCATCCTGAATAGAGGGGCTTAAAGGATCAATATAGAGGGGACAGAAGGTTACAAGTGTTTATTAAACACTGTGTGCCAGGCACTGTAGTAAGTGCTTTTATAAATATTATCTCATTTTATCCTCACAACAACCCTGTAATGTAGGTGCTTTGTGTAATTTGTTCGGGGTCACACTGCTTAATAAATGATTGAAGATGCAATTGAACTCAGGTCTTCCTGACTCAGGCTCAGCTCTCTCTTAGAGCTTAGAGGGTATCTAATCTAGTCCTTTCATTTTGCAGATGAGGAAACTGAGGCTCAGAGAGATTAAATGATTTGTTTGAGGTCATATAGCTCCTTAGCGTCAGAGCAGGGCTTTTGGAGGGGACACTTCTGCAGCTACTGCTTTAACATTTAATTTATCTCAACAAGTCATTAGGGAGCAAGGGGAATTCTATAAAAGGAACTTGTCATATATCTAGAGGACACACTCTTTTATATTAAGATGATCTTGTGTTTGTGTTTGGATTTATTTATTTGTTTTTGGCTGAACCTTTCATTTAACCAGTATAAAGGACTACCAGTGTGAGAAAAAAAACCCAACCCTCTATCAATACACATTGGTAATTGCAATTTATAGTTTAAAGAGTTTCCTTGCTGGAACTGGGAGGATGAGTAAAGGTCATTCAGTTGATGAGTGTCAGAGGTGAGATTTGAACCTAAGTCTTGGTTGACTCTAAACTTCTTTCATTAGGAACTAGATACTTGCTTTTCAGAGCCTAGATTAATTAGCCTCCACCCATTCCTTTTTCCCCTCTACAAATATCCCTGCTAGTTATTCTAGTTCTTGGAAAGCCTGGTTAGAACACTATCACTTAATGGACACATTGGGTAAACCAGAAACCTTGTGTATCTATAGTGATCATACATTGGTCCCTCTTATTATTAATAACTTGTTCTCTATGGCTTAAATCCAGTATCCCTAGCCTGATTTTGGTTCCCTCTTTTCCTCCCCCCATAGTATCTGACCTCACACTGTTTCCAAAGTCTTTCCTACTGAATTCTAACATTCCAAACAGGCTTGATGAGCCTTTTACTTTCCACCACACACACACACACACACACACACACACACACACACACACACACACACACAAAATCACCGAAGGTTGGAGTTGGAAGGGACGTTAGAGGTCCTCTAGTAAGAAGGAAGGAAACAA